TAAGTACGTCATTGACTAAATTCAAAGTTCAAAAAAAAAATTCTCGAACTTCGCGACACACCTCAAGCCATCTGCTTTGACATCTAATGGTTAGGAGTGATTATGACCTCCTTGTGACAATGATGAATGGTCTCACAATACATAATCACTTTCTAAAAATTCCCTTTATTTTCTCAGATTATGGTTGCATGACTGATGCAAATTTCTTTTATCCTGCTCCGTAAGTAGTCTCAAAGTCCTCATCTTCTATAGTTCCCCTTCATGTTCTTGTTGATACTTCTTCACCTCAATTACCTAGGCTTGTTAAACTTATTATTTCCACACATTATGATGTCCCTCAGAAGCAGCCCATAAAGGTTTATATGAGAAGCAAAGTCCAAGACGGAAACCCTAAACTAACTCAGCCAAGCACTCAATCATCTTCACCTATAGATCCACTTCCTGCTTCTAACTCACATTTTTGTGTCTGATGATATAATGTACCAATTGCCATCCATATACGTATAAGGTTTTGTGCTCAACATTTCATTGCTCATTTTGTTACCTTAGAAATTTATTTCCATTGTATCAAAGTTTTTCTTTAACTCTTCCATATATTTCTATCCCTAAGTCTTATCAAGAGAACTTTCTTATATCGGTAGAAGAAAGCAATGGAAAAAGAAAAGGATCCACTCAACTTGAACGATATTAAAGTAGCTAGATCAAAGCATGACATTAGTTTATCTCAAACAAAGTACGTGATTAATCTGTTGAAAAAAACTGGAATGTTAAATGCTAAATCAGTTGATACTCCTATAGATTCAAATACAAAATTATTGGTTGACAGGGGTGAGTTGCTTGAGGATCCAAGAAGGTACAGAAGATTGCTAATCAAGCTGATTTCTCTAACCATCATTGCATTAATATTCCTTTGGCAATAAGTTCGGTGAATTGGCTTATGCACTCTCCCAAGATTCCTCACTAGGATGTTGTTCGTACAATTTGAGGTATCTAAAGGGAGCTCTAGGTTGATGTCTGATTTACATGCCAAATAATCATTGACCATTGAGAGTTAACTCAGATGCTGATTGAGTAGGTTCTCCATCAGACAAGCAATCTACCACAAGCTATTGTACATCTATTTGTGAGAAGCTAGTTACATGGAGAACTAAGAAACAAAATGCTTGGGCTAGATATTGTGTAGAAGCTCAATATAGAGCAATGAAACATACTACATGTGAATTGATGTGGCTGAATATATTGATGCAGGTGAAGTTTACTATTCTGAGCCTATGAAGATGTTAGGGCTTTTGGGGTCTTTAAAGCCCCTGAGAACATGTAATATAATAAATATAGTGAATTGTACACTTCAATGGGAGTGATGTTGGTTGATTGTCGTAAGGTTGGGCAATCTACGGCACAAGTCATATCCAAAACCCTTTTTCCCTAGGCATAGGCACAACCATTGAGGGTTTTCTGGAGGTGATCCCTTGTCGAGGTCGAAGAGATACCCAGGGACAGTGTTTGCAGGCCATGATAACTTTGTGGTCTTCTTTGTGCTATTATAACCTATGAGAGCAAGAGCTAAATCCTCAAAAAAGTTCTACACATCATATACATATGACAATTGCATTCTCAAAAGCAACCCTATAGAGGGATACGTGTCCTTGTATGTAGAGAGCGTCTCCCTTGCACTATAGTGACATGTGCATGTGACATGTTCTTAGAGGAGGAACATATAATCCACATATTAGGACCGTGGTTCCATTGTTTATTGATCAGCTTTGATGGGACAATCATGAACCCTTGCACATGACTGTAGATCATGAGTCCTATTGGGTCGGTTTGAGAAGCTAGTCATGGATCACGGTTTCTAGCTTGGGTGGAGTAACCTAACAATCCCTTTTCTTGACACAATGGTAACAATCCACTTCTAGAGGTAATTATGAGTATTTTAGAATGTTTAAGAAATTCAGAAATATTATTTTCAACTTCACTCATGTTTCTTATAATTTTTGGTTATTTTTAGAATTTTTTAATATTGATTCTATGCACTAAAAACTCTGAAAAGGGTATATTTTATATTTCGATATTAGTAGGGGCAAGGTGGGATCCACGTGAGGGGGCCTAGGGCTCAGCTCCCACAGCCCATATAGGGCGACAAGCCCCACATTGAGTGGGATGCCTCACTAAAATAAAATAATCTTTTGTTAGAGAAAATCTGGACAAAAACAATTTGGAAAAGATATTGTGAGAATATATTTTTTCGAGTAAAGAGTCCTTTAGATTTGGAAAAACATTTTATTGTTTTGACAATCAAGTTTGAAGTAAATCATCCAGTTGACTTTTGATTTCCTAAAATACCAAGGAGTTATTTCTCTGTGCTTTGGAGTCTAAACTTTATGGGAGCGTTTTTTGGAAGAACTTGTTCTAATCTAAGTAGAACTGGATATGGGCCAAAGTTTCAGGGGACAAAGATTCCTAGATTCTTTCCTAATCATGATGGGCAATAATAAGAATGGATAGCTCTGATTTATTTCTCTCAACGTATATGTTACCTGGGAATCCTAACGTTAAATTGAATCCTAATCCTAAGTGGAATAGCCTAGGGCCATTAAGGCCTATATAAGGAGAGGTCCTTCCCTCTTTCACATTATTAGTTTTTCAACCCTCTCTCTCATCTCTCTCTCTCTCCCCTCCATGCCACCTCTCTCTCTCAAGTGGTCTAAATAGACCCTAATTATAGTAGCCCAGGCTCTCAGCCTCATAGTTTTGTGGTAAGGTATTCCAAAGGTGTTTCCCAATACTAAGGAAGCATAGGACCAAAGGATCAGAGTACGACATTCGTTTGGTAATTAGATGCGGTGTGTGCTAGGTCCTAGGGGGTAACCCTAGGCAAAGATTAAATAAGCCTTCTTGGTTTGTAAGTTTAGTTTTGGTTCTTGATTCATATTTGTTAAGAAATCCTAATTATATTAGAAGTCCTATTTAAATTAAGATTCCTACTCGGACTAGGACTCCCACTTAAGTTAGAATTCCTAATTGTGTTAGAATTCATATTCTAAGCTTGACTTCATTTTTTGAATAAAAGTTTTATTTGGCCGTAAGAGTTAAATATCTTACACTGTAGTTGGTGTATTTCTACATTCTAATGTGGCAATTATAAGTACAAATTCCAATTATTCATGAAGAAAGAGGAAAAAAATTGAATTTATGTGTTGAAATTTTACATAGCTATACCTCTCAAAAGATGTATTGCAATGATAAAGTTGCAACCTATATAGCTAGCAATCCAATGTTTCATGAGAGAACTAAGCATATTAAAGTAGACTGTCACTTTATTCAGAAGAAGGTTACTAGTAAGTAGGTGTTTACTCCATATGTGAAATCTAAGGATCAATTGACAGACATCTTCACCAAAGCGTTTGGTCGTAATCTGTTCCAAACAAATTCTTCCAAGATGGGCACGGTGACCTTTAAGCTCCAACTTGAGGGGAAGTGCTAAAAGTTCTTTATCTTTATCTCTCTCTCACTTATGTTATTAGGATCAACATGTCCTATTTCCAGTTTGTATGGGGCAGCATTGTCATTTTTCTTATTTCTTCAATATAAGAGAGGTGCGTAAGGTCTCTCTCTCTCTC